TCCACGGTGCTCCTGGCGGGGGGGCGGCGGAGCCCGGGGCCGGGGAGCGAGGCCGGGAGGCGCCGCGGAGCCGCGGCCCGGCGCGATCGGGCGGGCAGGTCCCCGGTGCGGCGTGCGGGGGACGCGCGGCCGCCTCGCCTCGTCCCGTCGGAAGCCGATAAACCCTGCAAGCACCCGCCGCTTGCACGGAGCCTCCTGGAAGAGCCTTCCTCCTCCTCGGGCAGCGGGGGGCAGCCCGCGGTCCCTCCCCCGCCCCGGCAGCGGGGRGATTAACTGCGTCTGGCCCCTTCCGCGGGCCGGGGGCGGAGGCGCCGGGCTCCCCCCCACCCGCCGCCGTGCGGCCGCCCCGGCTGGGGCGGAGGGCGGGCTGTGGGAGCGCCGGGAGGGCGGAACGCTCCCCCGGTTATATAACGCGAGTCTYCCCCTACTTAGCCCCGTAATCCCCGGGTAATGCCTAATGCCGGTGCCCCGCGGGGCTGGGGGGCAGGGGGTGGCTGCTGCTCCCGGAGCTCCCCCTCTGGGTCGAGCTGATGGGGGAAATAAAGCTGCTGATGTGCGAGATGGACCATATGGTGCCKCCGGGAGACGGGGAGCCGGAACGGCCTTGAACCTGCCGGTCCCGGCAGCTGGGTGCTGCCCCCCTCCCCGGGCTCCACCGGCATCCCCGGTCACAATGCCCCGCCGCCCCCRAACCGGGCTGCCCGGGCCGTGCCCYGTGTGCTCCCGGGGAGGAGCTGYGTGCCCGGAGAACAGCGGCAGGGAAGGCACTGATCGTGCCCGGGGGAGGAACCCCCGCCCCGGGAGGAGGGGRAAGCCCCCGCAAACGAGGGGCTCTTCGCTGCGGCCGCGCTCGCCGAGTGAAAGGCAGCGGGAGCAGTTTGAGTAAGTTACACGCGAGCACCTAAAAAAGCAGCGATCTAGTGCTGGCACTGCCCATTTTCAGTTCTCTCTCCCTGCCATATGTTTAGAAGGGAGAAAAAAACGCACTTTGGGAAGGATGCTCTCAGCTGAAGGAGGAGGTGGGCTGGGGGACGAGGTACAAGGAAATTCCATGTTAGGAAAGCATTAGCAAGGGGTGACTTCTAATGTTTTCCTGCCACTGACGTTGACAGTGACACACATGTGTGGGTTGATATTGGAACGTCACAGAGTTTTTAAACTCAACCAGGAAATAGTCTGTTGCTCAGGGATAAAAAACAAATAGTCGGTACTGTAAGGCAGGTAACATGCAGTTAACAGCCCTCAAGTGAGTGAAAAGCTGTTCGGTGTTCACAATTGAGCAGATCAAATTTAATTCAACTCTTTATTTTCAGAGATTTCTTTTTTTTCTCTTTTTTTACATGTGGTTTCTCAACTCTATTTTTATTCCTTATAAGTAATTCTTCAAAATCAGAAAAGCACATATGGACAGGGCTTTGCTTTTGTCCCTTGTAAGTAAGTAGTTTGTACAGGTAAAGTCTCTTGTATTTTTTTTAGCTAACGTTGTTGTTAGAGGGTTCGGAGAGGGATTAACAATTAAAGAAGGCAGTTATATTTTTAAAATTCTTTTGTATGACTTCCTCTTAGCACAGATAGGTGTGTTTAATAAATACAATGGTTTGGTTTTGTTTTTTACTGACCCTATTATAAATGTTACAGTGTAGTAGTATTTGAAGATTTAAAATGGGATTAGGGAGTTATTGTGCTAGATGATTTCTGAACATGCAGGGAGATTTGCTGGAAGAGTTCCTGATCCCAGGTATCAGGCTGACACTCTTGTCCTGACTTGAGTGGTCACTGACCTGCCTGGGTGTGTCTGTAGGATAAGCATTGACCTAAGAATGGTCTTCKTAAGAAAGACAAAAGTTAGGGAGGCAGAAGGAAACACAAGGGCAAGAATAACAGCAAGCAAAATCCCTGAGTCGTCTTGTAGGTTATGTACAGTGCAACTCACTGGTTCCCAGTCATTTAATCAATAAATGTTCTATGTTACTTGCTACTCTGATGAAAGTCGCCTTAAAATAACTTYTATGAGTACACAGGCATGGGAAAGTGAAGGAAATCTTGCAGAAACTGTGACAAATGGRTTTATCCAAACTGGGGGATGGAGTAGTAGAAGGTTGAGCTCCTGAAACAGGGAAAGGGGCAGAATCYCCAGGTTTTCATTGTTCCCTGGTGCTGGCTGTGTCAGCGTTTTTCAGCATTTAGGCAAAGGTGACTATAAGTTACGATTCATTAGTAATTGGTATGGTCTCCAAATAAAGATAGCTAAATCAGTTTAAATGGTGCTGGCACCTCTCCAAGGAGTCCTCTTTATATCTGACACATTTGCTGCAAACTTCTTTGAGGAACAATTAATATTGTACACTGTATCTTCCTCTGTGGGAAGAGCAGTGGTGTAACTCACTATGAAGGCTTTCTACCTGATGTTCCAGTTTGACTTGCTATGTTTAAAAAAAAAAACACCAAAACCAACATTTTGAACTGAAGGAAGCAGAAGACACACCAAGGCTTTGCATTGAACTGTTTTATATCAATATTGATTTTTTAAGGGGGTTTGTGTTATAAAGAGGGAGCTTTTATCCCCCTGAGCTCTTTGGCAATTATCTTCCTGCCATAAATGTTGATACGCACATAATGGATGTAACTAAAAAATCTCCTTATCCCAGCAGAAAAGGCTGACTGTTTGTTGGAGCAGAGAGAATGCTGAGAGTGTGAATAGACAAACCCATATGTCGCTGGTGAGAGAGATAAATGATGGACGAACAGGAGTTGGTTACTATGGATCAGCACAATAAACCAATTCCCATCATACACCTCTCTTAATAATATACCAGTCTCAATGCCATTGACGGGTAACCTAGGTAGCACCAGTCAACTGTAAGTTTTTCAACTGTTCTTTTATACATCTCAAAGAACAGTTGGGACATTTCTAATTTTTTCAGATGTTGAGTGCTAAAATTATGCAGAACTTCCTTTCTTGCCAGTAATTTTGAAGGGGAAGTTTAAAGCACTGCTGTAAAATGACAAATGTGCATGACACCATAGCGTACTTGTAGTAAGTTTTGTGTTGTGTACCCGTAAAAGGGGTGCCCTTGAAAAGGCAATCGCTTAACAAATATGTGAAGAAACTGTTTGGTGTTTAGTGCTACCCTCATCAGGGTTGTTTCAGGATTGGACTGGCTTTTGGAAGATAYTGGAGTGTTGTTTTAAGTGAAAATAGAAATGGAATAATGCTGTTTCATTTTAAAAATAGCCCTGTAGAACAGGCAGTGATCAATACCACAATTTTAACTTTCTATAACCCAGTTCAGGGCTGCCAGCAGCTAAAGGGAAACTTTGCAAAACAGTCTGTGCTTGGATCTGAGTCTCCTTCCCGTGTTGTGTCTTATTACTGCTAGTGCTTTGCACAGAAAATTGAAGTCTTTGTCATTTACAGGTTTCACTTTATGTCCTTGTCTTCTGGTAGATATTTTTCATTGCWGTTGCTATGGACTGGCCTGTTAGCTCTGTTCACAATGAAAGTATGTTTCAGGGTGTCAGCATACGCAGGGCTTGTGGCTCATAGTGTGCAACTCCATGGTTTTCAAAGTCACCAGTTGCACTACCAACGAGCAGTGCAGTCAGAGAGGGATAACTTACAA